AAAATAAATAAAGCCTTTATAGAAGCTTATAATATAATTAGTAAGGTTAAGAGATATTATAATATCTTCTACTATACTTATAAAATCCTTAATAGTAAGGTAAGTAATAAAATAACCTTAGAGTAGAAACTATAGGCTATTATTAAAGCTATAAATAATACTACTAGCCTTAATAGTTTTATACTAACCTTATTAGTTTTTAGAATATACCCTTAATTAACTATTAACTCCTTACTAAACCTAATAATTACTTATTATATAAAGGTAATTTATAAGGTAATAGCTAAAGTTAGAAGTATACTAGTTAAGAGATAAATTTAAGATATCCTTAGAATAAGAAATAGCTTATATATTTTAAATATCTATAACCTTCCCTTATAATTAGAAGTTTAGGTATTTTATAAAAAGAAAGGTTAATAAGGCCTTTATAGGCTTATTATTATTAATAGTAAGACCTATATAGTTAATATATCTTAAGGACTAACTAACTTTTAAGTAATAGTTATTAAGCTATATCTTTATAAAGATAAAAGTATTACTTTTACCTTTAGTAATACTATAGGTAAAGAGTAAGAAGGAGGATAATAAGGACTTAGAAGAGGGGAGAATAGAGAAGACCTCCTTTATATTACTTTAGCTACTATAAGGCACTAGTTAAATATAATAACTACTATAGCGCCTATTACTACTAAGAATAATACCCTAGCTATTATATAGTATTACTCTAACTTAGTAGTTACTATAGTCTTTACTACTACTAGAGATTATAAGGGATATTAAAAAGGAGATAGTAAGGAAGAGGAAGAAGAGGGATTAAAAGATTATAAGGGATATTAAAAAGGAGATAATAAAAAAGAGGAAAAGAGATAACTAGCTTTTATTAAGAAAGATTATTAACTAATTACTAGAAGAAGTAGACTAAAAGAAGAACTAATACTTTAGTAATTAACCTAGTTAAATTAAGGTATTTATAGTTACTAAAATTTCTTAATAAATAAAGTCTTAATAATAGTACTAGCTAATATAAATAACCTTAATTTAAATATATTTAATAGTAAATACTTTCTTACTAAAGCTTATTTTAATAAAGCCTTCTTTAATAAGACTTTATTTAATAATATTATTCTTAATAAGGACTTCCTTAGTAAAGCCCTCTATAAAGAAGCTATCCTTAATAAGAACTTTATAGCTACTAAAGAGTAGATTAATTTAGCTATAGCTATTAAGCTTTAGGAAAAAGGTATTATAACTACCTTAGGTAAGTTATTTAAAGCCTCT